CTGTAAAGTGCCATGTAAATTTATGGTGCTATATAAATAAACATTAATAATATTAATTAATTAATTAATTTTAGACTATATTCATTATCCCTTTTCATTGGCCATGCTGATGGGAGTTGTAACATATGGAAATCCAATTGTTTGTGCCCCTTCAATAGTACGTTATACAGTTGAGCCTTCTCAACCTGTTGTCCGCCTAATTACAACTCCCATCATCCCCACCTATGATTACTATTGAATCTGAAAGAGACCAGCCTAAGAAAGCTGACATAGTACATATGGCTGGGAAACCAAAGAAGATACGCTTTGGTCTTTCTTCTCTCCATTGCTAGAAGGTAAGGCTGAGTAAGGAGAAGAGTGTCCAGCATTCATTAACACCTCTCTTCCATTTCTGAGGCCAAGAGTTAATTGAAATTAAACAGTCATAGCTGATTGAAATTAAATGTTGCAATCCACCCAAAGGTGGGAGAGAATGTTTTAAAATGGCTGTGCCTTTCATTATTGTTTCAGTGACACTTGTATTCTACTTAGACCTTCATATTCAGGAGCAAAAATGTTGATGAGAAGAGATATGGAGATGGAAGCCAGGCGCTGTATCTTTATAGTTCTATAATAATAGTATCAGGTCTGAACAAGATGTTATAGCAGACTTTATGCCACCAACATATGCAGAAAAAGCCTTACAGAAATGAAATGCCATTTGAGTGTGTTTTGATTTTTAATATCTTACTTTCCATGCATCAATATCAACTTGGTTGTTTCTATCCTATAATTTGCATTATTTACTGTCTCCTAGGATGACTTAGAATGCCATAGTAATTTTATTCTTTTCATCAGGCAGTTAAAAGTAAAGCAAATTATACTGCTGTATGTTTGATGGACAGAAATTTTCCCTTTTTTAAAAATACAAAAGATTGCAAAACATAGTGGTTCTGTTCAGATATTAAGCCACTGATCTCTGATCTGACAAGTTGGAATCCAAAACCATAGACTAAACTGAAATTGGAACCAAACAAGGGCTGGCATGGTGTCTAAATTGATAAAACACTGTTAGAGACTGTTGCTCCTCTCTGGAAGACCACTGTACCTAGAAAGAGAAGTGCTGAGTAAATGGAAAATCTGCTTTGGTGTATGATTAGAATGACAAAACATGATTTGGCATGATGTCTACACAAAGCCTGTATGACATAGAGAGAGGGCTGGTAGTGGTTTGAGTATTGGCTTAGGACTGGGAATCCAGGGTTCACATCCCCGGTTGGCCATAGGAACCCTGTTGCAGTCTCTCAGCCTCAGAAGAAGAGAAAGGCTACCCCTTTCTGAACAAATCTTGCTAAGAAAACCCTGTGATAGGTTTGTCTTAGGGTTGTTGTAAGTTGGAAATGACTTGAAGGTCCATATCAACAACAATTATACGAAGGGAATGGTTTGGTTGGGCATCTGCCAAGATATATGTCCCTGCAATGGATCTACCAGTCAGCCCTTGTGCTACTGTTGCCTGCCATTGATGCTTCCTTGCTCAGTTGCTTTTTTCCTTTGGTTCAGAGGGGGGTAATGTTTCATGTAGTGGTTTGAGTGTTGATCTATAATGCTGGAGATCAGGGTTTGATTACCCACTCAAGCATATTATCGTTATTATCATTTATTTATATAGTGCCATTATAAAAACCCACCGGATGATCTTGAGCAAGTCACACTCTTTCAGATCTGAAGAAACTTGCCAAGAAGACCCTATGATAGGATCTTAGGGTCGCTGTAAGTAAAAAATGACTTGGAGGCACACAACAAAAACAAATGTTTGTAGCAGATCCATTTCTTGATCCAGGCCAGATTTGTTAGAATGTCATGGACAAAGAGTATATAGTCCACCCCAGATTTCCTATTCCTGTTTGGAAAGTTGACCACTAGCCGTAGACAGGGAAAGACCAAAGAATGCTAAAGCTTGCATTTTTTAAAGTTTCTCAAGAGACATCATTCTTTCTAAGAACTCCAGGCCTCTAAACAAAACAAAGGAGCAAGTGATTGGATTATGGTGATGAGGAGAAGTTGACTGCTCTTTGAGTTGCTTTTTTATCGCCTCTCTCTTCACTGGCAAGCAAGCAGCCAACAGCAACAGTGAGAAGAAAAAGAATGCCCCATGATTCAAGAGTGGGAGAATCTTTGCCCCAGGGCTTTCCAAAACATGGGATCATCACTGGTGGTCCAGGACAGAACTTGGGAATCCTACATTTCTGTACTACAACTCCCAGAATCTCCCAGCCAGCATAGTCACTGGACATGCTGGTTCAGGAGTTTGGGGAGTTGTGGTCCAAAAAAGTAAAAATGTCAAGCCATGCACCTTCTGTTAAAGTTTGTGAGGTTTTTTTTAGTTGTATAGCAAATGAGCTCAAAAAGCAGTACAGTTGTCCCTCTGGATTTGCTGACTTCCTGTTCGCAGTTTGAATTTCTGCGGATGGGAAGCCAGAAGGGATAAAATAGTACATGCACCACCATTATGTTGGGCTTGAATATTTGTGATTTTCCATTTTTGTGAGGGGGGTTGTCCAGAACGGATTCCCCAATGAATTGGGAGGAGCGACACTATTATTTTTCTTAACATTATTATTATGTACTGGAGAAGAGTTCTGCTGACCAATAAATGGGTCCTGGAACAAATGAGACCTGAACTCTCCCTAGAAGCCAAAGGCTTGTCTGCATTAATCCTATACCATAAATCCCCCCCTCCCACCGGGGCTGGCTGCATGGTGTTTACACGATGCCTGGACCCGATTCAGGGTTTCTACCCCTTGTTCCTGCATTTTAAAAACTTGCCTTTTGCTCTGGGTTTTCCAGAACATCCGGAGCAAAACATTGCAGCAACAGGCCACAACAGGTGGCTACTGGTCCTTGAGTGTATCTAGTGAGTTGGTCTGTGGATGCGAGTTGCTCTGTGGACTCAAGTCGCTCTGGGCTTGTCTGAGGTCTGAACGAGACTGAGTGCCTCATTCTGACTTCAGATGACTCTCTGTTATAGCAGTGGCGCTGGCTGGTTTGCAGGAACCACAGCAGGTAAGGTGGAGCAAATTTAATGGGGGTGTGGGACCAGAATATGCAGGAAACAGCCTGAAGTATTCTGGCAAGCCCCAAGATGACAAAACTGAAGCTATCCAACTTTGGCCATATCATGAAAAGACATGACTCATTAGAAAAAACAATAATGCTCAGCAAAGTGTAAGGCAATAGGAAAAGAGGAAGACTGCATTGAATCATGTAAGCCACAGCCCTGAGTCTACAAGACTTGAACAGGGCTTGGATGAAAGATTTGGAGGTGTTGCCATAAATCGAAGTCGACTTGATGGTAGTTAATAACAAAATTTTCTTTCCACAAATAATAAAAAAGAGATACATAAACAATTTTAAAACAATAATGGTAAGATATAATAGAATGTAGTTATGACATGAAATGAAAACAAAATCTGCAACCACTACCAACATTTAGTACTTTGAACCAACTCCCATAATCCTCTAGCATTTTTTATACTGGGTGAGGCTGATGTGAATTGCGGGCCAAAAACATCAGAATGGGAGATGTTCTACACTCCAAGGAGTCCAAACTTCTGCAGGGCTAGGGAGTGTTGTCTGGCATCCTGCTTTTCTTGGATCCCTTGTTGCTCTGAAATGTAAGGAAGATGCAGAGTGACATGCATTAATTGATGGGAACAGATTATAGTGGTTTCAAGAGCTACTTAACAGTTGCACCTATTTTAAAGCACATTTAACCTTTTGACCAAAATCCCCTGTTAATCCATTGTCATTGGAAACAGATAGGTTGGAGATATCATGATTAAACTGTCAAGCCACAAATTCAGATTTTACAGTGAACCTTTTGGGGAACCCTGCATGGAATTAATACTTATTTTCTCAGATTGCCTGTTGTTCAAGGACATGTAATACATGTTGAGTTGAAGAGGAGGGGATAAGAAACTTGGGGAGAAATCAGTCTTGTTTCTTTGCCTGTTGGGAGTTGCATACCCTTAGAATGCATTGTGTATCCCACCTTTTGGTTTTAAAGCAACAATCAGAGCTTGGAAAAGTTACATTTTTGGACTACAGCTTTCAGAATCCCACAGCAAAAAAATGTGTGGTGGGGAGGGGAGTGGTAAGAAGACAAAGGAGGGTTACAAATGGGAGAAGACAACATCTGGCTCTTTCCTCTTTGCTCTCCCAAATCCATCCCCTAAACCACCCTTCCCAGTCTTGGTGTCTTCCAAATCATGGCTATGAATGACAAGGTTTATAATCCAGTTGTATCTGGTGGGCACCAGGTTGGGAAGCCTGACATATCTATGGACGTTATCACACGGGGTAAATCTGCTGGTTAATCCACACAAATCCCAAACAAAAACTGGATTTGTGCCTCACGTTTTCACACGATGTCACACAGAAACTGGACAGAAAGTGGACAGAAACTGGTGTTATCCGAGATCTTTTGAAATTCGGTTGTTTGGAGGAAATGCAAATGTGAAATTAAGGTAATTTCACATTTACCGTAATGTGTAAAGCAAATGCGCATTTGGGAGTATTTCCCTGCTTTCCCCATGGTTCCAGCGAGCATTCCTCCATCTGCACATGTGTAAGAAGCTCATTTCTAGTACATTTACGGGCTTTTCTCACTTGTGTGTGAACGTTAAATGCGCTTACTTTAATTTCGCAATTAAGGTAATTACAGGTGAAAGCCATTTGTGGAATCAAGGTTTATTTTTGGAATGCCTCATTTCCACTTTATTATCGCTTTCTGGCCCACGTGTGATAATGCCCTATGTCTTCTTTTGCTGAAAAAAAGCATATTTTTATAAACTCTGTAGTGCAATCTTACTACGTAATTTGTTACTGTTGTGTGCTTTCAAATCATTTCTGACTTATGGTGACCCTAAGGCAGCCTATCATGGGGTTTTCTTGGCAAGATTTATTCAGAGGAGGTTTGCTATTGCTTTCCCTTTAAACAGAGAGCATTTAGGTTTCCATGGCTGAGTGGGGATTCGAACCCTGGTCTCCAGAATTATAGTTCAGTGATAAAACCAATACACCACGCTGGCTTACGCTGGCTTTTTAAAAACTAATTATTTTCTCTGATTTTAAAAAAACAAAACATCGGTTGTTTATTGTCGTTGTGTTCCTTCAAGTTGTTTCCGATTTATGACAACCCTAAGGTGATCCTATCATGGGGTATTCTTGGCAAGTTTCTTTCGAAGGGGTTTCTTCAGCCATTATTTGAGGCTGAGAGAGTATGACTTGCCCAAGGTCACCCAGTGGCTATGTTGGGATTTGAACTCTGGTTTCCAGAGTCACAGTCCAATGCTCAAAGCATTAACAAAATAAAAACAGTGACAGTGAAGGGATCATGTTGGCATGTTCTGGGGCATATGCCTCAGTTTCTTAATCTTCAGCAATCCAGGCTAAATGGATCTGAGAGACATTGTTCGGAATAGGAGCATCAAAGTCTCAGTTACGTGCAAGGAAGTCATTTCTCATTTACTTCACAGTTTCAAGGCAAATTCGTTCTGATAGCAAGAATCTTTTCATTTTCTTTCCCCTAACTTTCATTTCACTTGTAGGAAATGAGATGCCACGAGGATGCCTTGTTAGCTTTTTTGTCACATCTCATTTAATTCAGCAATACCTTGCCTTTTCTAAAAAAAAAAAAAAAAAAAAACACGTCAGAAAGCTTCTCCCTATCTGGGCTAAACTGCTTCAGACTGCAAGTGGAGTCTGCAGTGATTTGAAGGATAGCCCAGATATAGTCTTATCCCAGTGAGGACAAGACTTATGGTTCAGACAATAAAAGGATGGCTCTTTTGTCTCCTCTCCCCCTGCCTGAAATCTGTGTTTGTTCTAGGTACGTTATCTTTTGGAATGGGTAGAAGATGATCCTGAAAACACTGAAGACACTGAAGACAATGCAGAGAAACTGGAATTTTGTCATCCTTTGTGTCAGTGTTCCAAATGTGGTCTTGTACAGAAGGTTGGTCTATTACCCTACCCAACTCACCCTCTCTTAGTGCCAACCTTGCCATTAGGCAGTCAAACAATTGCCTGAGTTGGTGGATGCTGAGAAGCAACTCAAAAAGGTCATTTCCACTTACATTTACATCGGTTAGTGAATTGTGTTGATACTGGGTGGCTTAGTTCTCACTATGGAAGCGAATCATGCCATTATTCCATGTAGTCCCCACTTACAAAGGGGCTTCTTCCCTCCCTCTTCAATGCAGTGGCACCTCAATGGCTAAGGGATGTTGTGGGATGCCAGCAGTGAGCTCTGGAGTCCCCCAGGAGGGAAAGGGAAAGGGAGTGAAGCCCGCATCGCCTGCCTTCCCTAGCAAGGGCTGCAACCTCCTCTCCGCTCCCGGGGGCCTGCCTGTCCGCCTGCTGTGGGCTCCGCATCAAAGCCACCACATCCGACCTTCCCCCCACACCCCCTCGGGCATACCGGACCTGATGGAGACCCTCTGACGTGCCCCCTCTGTTCTCGGGTGGCAAACGGCAGTGCGTTGCATCCCGGGGGGCTTCGAACACCTGACACGTTTCCACCGACTGGAGAGAAGGAGGAGGAGAGGAAAGAGGGAGGGGAAAAGAGGAGGAAAAAGCAAAAAGCAAAGCAAAGCAGCTTATTTATATACCGCTTCATAT